GTACTAAACAGCACAACGCCTTCGACGTCAGGAGGTATGACAATCCGCCGCAGGCGGATTGCCCTGTCAGGAATCGATATTCACTGGACGATGACTGATTACTAGACACTTAATTACCTTTTCGGAATGTATTTATTTATTTTCCATGCACAAAAGCACAGGGCAAGCTACGGGACAAGGTGTATTACACCTGTAAATTTAATGAAATAACCCACCACTAAACGTTCGAATTGGACTTTTATTATATTATAAAATTATTGTTTACGCGTTTAAAACGACACCGCCAAAGTGTAAAACCACCAAATCAGAGGTACCAACATGTCAAACGTCGTTATTACTGGTTTTGCCTACTAGAGTTTTCTAACTGCGGTATTTTTAAGTCCTGTCTCCGACCTAGGAAATTCATTTCAAACGATATTCAGCTACCTAGGGTACTCACATACAGCGAGTTTTACCGACCTAGGGTATTCACATACAGCGAGTTTCACCGGTGCTAGTTAAAAAATAAATTATTAAATTAACAACAATAATTCAATAAATAAAATATAAATAATAAACAATATCAATAAATAAAATAAAAATGAATAACTTCATAATTGAATTAAATAAAAATAATAACAATTTATTTTTTATTTAAAGACAACTTGTGATAAGACAATTAATTTTTTGGTTAAAAAAACAATTATTATGAAATATAATTAAGACTGTAAACTTTTATAAAAGTCATGGTATATATTTGGTATATAGTTATTATCACACAGTGACATCAGATCTTGTTTTTTATTGACTGAAATTTTGTTTTTTTCTGTATAAGCTTGTTTTAATTTGTAATTAGTGAATGATGGTTTTCTACCAGGAGGTCCATTATAATATAAATTAATTTTTTTGAAATCTGTATTTAAAAAACTGGTTTTGTAAAAGATAGTATTTGATTGTGCTTTTTCCACTTTCAGTACTTAAATATTATTCCAAATTACTTTTTCTCCATCATTATTTATAGAACAATTTTTTTTATTATATTCTGTAATGTTTTTTATATCATAAAAATCAGAATACCCTAATTCTTTAACCTTGAATGGGTTTCCTGATTTTTTGGCAGTTTGAATTAATGATATATATTGTGTTGGCAAGTAAATAGGCCCAGATTTTAAGGATTTTTTTATTTGTTTTTCTATGACAGAATGTGCTGTATCTCCTTCATTTTGAGTATGCCCAACTACTAAAATTTTGTGAGTAATAAAATTAATATCCATATTTGTAGTAGCATACAAGTATATCTTTCTTAATATATATAAATCTCGTGTCACAATGTTTGTCCTCAATGGACTCCTAAACCACTTAACCGATTTTGATGAAATTTTTTACACCGCGTGTAATTTGGTCCAACTTAAAAGATAGGATAGTTTTTATTTCAAATTTTTTAATACATTAAATATTTTAATTAACTTTTTAATAAATTTGTATGATTGCATGGTGTATTTCGGGTTTTTCCGTGGCCGACCGCGATAATTGTATCTATCTGTAAGGGCTCCTTCACACGTAGCCACTCGGCAGCGCTTCTTAGCAGCACGTCAGTGGCGCTGCATATTTTTTTAGAAGCGCGTTGGTGGCGCTACCAAAATTTTTAGAAGCACGTTAGTGGTGCTGCTAACGTGCGTCGGTAGACAATATTTGTGAACACAAGAGCGCTACATCATTCTCAAAATGGACGTGGAAACTGAACTATTGTTGGCGATGCTATTAATTAAAAAAAAGAAACGTAAAAATACACCGAGAAGATTCTGGGTGAATCCATTGCTTCTAGAAAGACCGAACAAAGGATTATTTTATACACTGTTTGATGACTTGGAAGGAGATGATGAAAAATTCTTCTCATATTTTCGTATGTCGAAGAATACATTCAATGAACTTTTATCTGGTATCAAAAATAATATAACGAAACAAGATACTGTCATGAGGAAGTCCATTCCTCCGAATGAAAAACTAGCTTTAACTCTGAGGTAAGAATAATAAATTTACAATATTTAAAGTGTTATGCTTTATTATAAGAAATATACAATATTTGTTTGAAAATAAATGAAATATTTTAGAAAGTTATAGAATTTTCGAGAAATGTTCAAAGGTGTAAAATGCGAAGTTCGGTACGACGTATTCATCAGTTAATATAAAGCGCAACAATCTGACCGAGTCAGTCATTATCGAGTTAATCACGCCGTCGTTAATCTCTTCGTGTTAGCGAAAGACAGGTTAACCAGGAATTTTGTACACAAAGTAGTACTTAGATAATTTTTAGTTTTAATAATTTAATTTATTTTTGTATGTTTTTAATGTATATAGTATATTTTGTAAGTAGGTCACTGATTACAAACAATAATTTAATATAAGATGAATAAAATGTAAATTTAGAAAATATATATGTTGGTTTGTACTTAATTTCAACATTTAGATACTTTACCTATTACTTTTAAATTTTCTCATACATAATAACACTAATACATGGCCTACGAAAATGCCAAAAAACCAACTAATACGCGGACAACGCCGTGTCGGGACAGCTAGTGATGTTATAAATTTATTTTTGTTTTGCCCAGCACAGTTATCTAAGTAAAAAATTATTTCAGTTTTTCCAATGTTACATTCAAATTGTAAAAATTTTAGTATAGATGTTCCTATTTCATTAACTCCTTTTTTTGCTTCGCCTTCATTCCAAACATAACAAAATGATTGTTTTTTCACAATATCAGATATAGTAAAATTATAAGTAGATAATTTAGATTTATAATAAATACAGATACTTCACCCCTAGGGGTTGGAAGTACAGCCTGAAGGTCATAGCATGCTAATAATATTTTACTTCTATTTATATCATTTGAAGCTAACTGTTTATCATTTTCTTTTTCTATTCTACTTAAATTTTTTTCTGACAGATGTAACTGATATTCTTCATCTTTAAGTACTTTTTCAACATCATCTGCATTTTTGTATGACTCACATTGAGAACATTGGTCCTTTTTGGGAACAAAAAAAGAAATATTAAATTCTGTATTAAATATTCTTGAGTACATGGTTAAATTAGCTATTTTTTCTTGAGGATATTGTTTTTCTATTCTAAGAGATGAATACCTAATCTCTATATAAGTCAGCCAAAGATTTTCCTCCTTCAATATACTCTCTAGTTGTTTGTGCTCTTAAATAATGACTTTCAATTCGAGGTATAGAGTTTATATGGTCTCAAACACTGTTTAATTTCAAAATCAAGTTTTTATGGTTTTTATGTTTTCCGCGTTTATCTGCCTCAATAAATCCATAGTTATTTAGTCTTGAAATAACAGTACGGATTGGTCTATCATTAATAGCAAGTGTATTTTTAAAAAATAATTTTAATTATTTAAGTATTAAGTATTTTTAAAATACTTCAGGACATTGATAGGAATATTATTTTGAAATTCAGAGTTGTCAAATTCCTTAATAAAAATATTATTATTTGAAGTTATTGAATTAATATTAATTTGATTTCCTATATTATGACTTTCTATTACTCCATCATTTTTTTGACCAAAAACTGTATCACCTTCATCTGAAATTCTCCATGTATCTAATTGATTTTTACTCACTAATTTGCATGGAGTAAGTGTATGGTAAGATTTTGGTGATGAATCGCCCATAGAAACATTTTTGGGGTATTGTAACCATGACTCTACTTTTTCAACCTAAAGTAATTACATTTTATTATTACCTACTCATAATATTGTACAATATTAATTATTATTTTTTAAGTTTAAAATGTATTATTAGGGGAAGTCCTTCTTAAATTATAACAAAGTCCTCTCAAATAATATACAATTTAAAAACATTTTTGACAACCATATTTATATAACTTGTAAAATACTTTATCTTTATAGATTTTAAGGATTTTTTCTTTGCTCAAGTGACTTAAAATTTTAGTATATAGCTAACTATTATATAATACATTAAAATATCTACATAATTTACATTTACAAAAACACATGTTATTTTTTTTTTTTAAATAAATGACATTTAAATTGTATAAAATATTAAAAATATTTGAATCTAACTTTATAAAAAAATATCAAGATCTCATAATAATTTATTATAATACATAAATAATGATTCATTTTATACATCAGAAAATGTACTTACTGTGTTTGATAGTTAATTATAAATTTATTTTCTGATGATATTTTCTCCGATCTTAAATGTTTGATGTTGACATTGCTATACTCCTACACATCAATCATTATTATAAAAATGTAATACTTTTTGTCTATTTAATTTAGCAATTAAAATATATTAGGTATAACTTACTTGTTGGCTACTTTGGCCAAGTTTAACTATAAGTTTGGCTCTATTACTCTTCATATTTAATTATATTATTATTATTATTAGATTTATTAAATTACACAATTATTGTATTTAATGTAATGATCAAATCATAATATAATAAAACATAGACAAGAAAAAACTGTATTATTCTCGAAAATATAATATTATTATAATCAAACAATTGAAAGTGTATTATACAAAACTAGATTTTTTATTATCAGATATTTATTACTACTTGTGTTAATAAATTAATACCACAATTATTATTAGTGGTTATAAAATATTATATACAAAATTTAGAACATAGATCACAATAAATAAATTAACCTTTAATTGCCTATTCAGGGGTGTTCTTAACACCCCACTGCTGTAATATTTAAAATAAATTATATTTTATGTTGGTCACACTGTTGAGGTCCTCGGTATCTTTCTATAATATAGTATACTATACTTTACTATCATTAAATCATAATTTTTAAAAATAAATAAGTTATGATAACATTATTATCAGCTTAGGGTGTTCTCAATACCCCACATACGTATTTAATTTCAAAAATTATTACGATTAATTTTTTTTTTAGTTATTTTTATTTCGTTTATAATAGTACTTAGAAGTATTTTAACAGTGATATAAATTATAAGAAATTTACTATAGTATGACATCTGAAAAGGAACTAGAGAAAATAAGGCAGCTCCTGCAAGAGGTAAGTGTTGACGATTGTAATATTTTTGATGACTCATCGAACAGTGAATCAGATATTTGCGAACCTGTGTATAGAAATAGTGATACCGAACCTTCTGATATTTCGGATACCGAAAAGTTGACTTCGTCTGATGATAAGGACGACGAAAATTTTATGATAGGCAAAGACAAAAAAACTAAGTGGAGAAAATCTGTCATTACTAAAAATGTCCGAACAAGAGTTCAAAATATTGTTATCCATTTGCCAGGTCCTAAATTCATTGCCAAACAAATGAAATCTCCATTAGACTGTTTTAATTTGCTAGTAAATGATGTAATTTTAAATTTAATAACTGATTGCACTAATATTTATAAAAGGAAGGTACAATATAAATATAAAAATAAAAATGTATGTCGACTAACTGACGTCGAAATCCAGGCAGTTATTGGTTTACTAATCATAGCTGGTTCATTTCGGTCAAGCAAGGAAAATTTAGTTGACCTTTGGGCTGTTGATGGTACTGGGATAGATATTTTTCATGCCACCATGTCAATGGACAGATTTTTATTTCTAATGCGTTGCTTGCGATTCGATGACATAAACGATTGTGCTCAACGTAAAGAGCTCGATAAATTAGCACCAGTTAGAAAACTGTTTACAATATTTGTTCAAAATTGTCAAAATGCTTACACAATTTCAGAATATTCAACAATTGATCAGCAACTAGTTGCTTTCAGAGGTAAATGTCCTTTTAGACAATATATACCAAGCAAGCCAGCAAAATATGGCATAAAAATTCAAACTTTATGCGATGCTCGAACTTGGTATGTATTGTCAATGGAAATATATGCGGGAAAACAGCCTGCAGGACCCTATGAGCTGTCAAATGCTGCCAAAGATGTTGTTCATAGACTAACAGAACCAATTGAAAATACAGGTAGAAATATAACACTTGACAACTGGTTCACAAGTATACCTCTTGCAGAAGAGCTTTTACAAAAAAAACTAACTTTAGTCGGTACTTTACGAAAAAATAAACCTCAACTTCCCCGTGAATTGATTGACATAAAAAAAAGAATTCTATATAGTACTATATTTGCGTATAATAACCAAATAACTGCACTATCGTACGTCCCGAAAAAAGGCAAGAACGTAGTTTTGATTTCAACAATGCATTCAAATTCAAATGATATTGATTCTACAACCGGTGATGCGAAAAAACCTGAAATCATTTCGTTTTATAATACCACTAAGTGAGGTGTTGATACAGCAGACAAGATGTGTGGAACTTATACTGTAGGAAGAAGATGTAAACGATGGTCATTAGTAATTTTTTTTAGAATATTAGATATCGCAGGAATAAACTCGCAAGTCATTTTCGTATCAAACAATCCAGAAACAAAAACTGTTCGAAGACTTTTTCTAAGAGGGTTGGGACTAGATTTGCTAAAGCTACAAGTTTCAAAAAGAGTTACAACCAAAACCGTCCCTAGAAGTTTACGTTTAGAAGCAGCAAAATATGCTAATCTCCCGGTGGAAAAATTGAAACAATCTTCATCACAAAACCGCTCATCTGGAAGGTGTATAGTATGTCCGAGTAACAAAGATAAAAAACTAAATGTTCGTGCTATAAGTGTAATAATTTTATGTGCCAAAACCACATGAAATTGATTTGTGAATCGTGTTTGGAAGAAGAAAAATCTGGTAACGATTCTAGTGATACTGTTTGATTTTTATTATATTTTTATTTTATTTTGTTGAAAAAATGTAATGTTATGATTTTATTTTATTTTGTTTTGTTATAAAAAGGATCATTTTATTATTTAATCTAAAACAGTTATAATTTGTTTTTAATTTGGTATAATAAATTATCAGAGCTATTAATTTAGCAGTTCAATTTTATTATTAGTTTATATACATTTAAATATTTTAAACTTGTAAAAACCATGATACATAAGTAAATATATTACATAAAAGACTATGTAGATGAATATAAAAAATATTATTATTGTTTGTTATCAATTTTTACAAATCATATGACAATAATTGAGATAAATATGATAACATTTTATGGAACACGGTCTTAGAAGAAAGGTCGGACAACTTCTTGCCTCTTACTTATTAGAAATTAGAATCATTATCATAATAGAAGTATATTATACTATCTATGATTAGAATGCGTTTGCTTTATAAACCAAAATCATATATTATATATCAATATATTATATAAATATATCCCCCATTGAAAACTCCCGTCAACGTCATTGTCTCGAGGCACTCAGAGACGATCACAAAAAAAAAAATCACGGGGAGGTTTAATCTTCAAAATTGCCGACTAGAATTTGAAATTCAAAATTTTTGTAAACTATTAAGTTATTTTAAGTTACATTCTGTAAATTTATAATTTATTTATTACCTCATGTTTTAATTCTTAGTTTGAATTAAATTTGAAGTGGAAATTTAGAAATACCTTACTAATTTTAAATTTATATCAGAATGAAATAACGTCAACAAACATATGAAATAGGTAATAAATTATTACCTATTATTCATTATAACTTATAATGTAACGTGTGACTGTGCGAGTGACGGTACGGAAAAATACATCACAATGTACAGCTCCACACTCAATTTGTTTCAGGGTATACAATGCAATTTAAGTTATTTGTACAGGTCGCTGGTCTATAATAGACTAATTGCGTCATTCTAGCCGTCTTTCCGCGACGGCAAAGTTCAAGTCCGTGCTTGTAGTGAAGCTACGCCCTTGTGCGCACAACAGGCCGCCGAAGGCTGATCTCATTTGGAATAGACTTTAGAATCTATTCTTTTTGGTATCGACCGTTTATGATGATGTTTCTTAAAATCTGCTATTGGATCTAAATCTATTTTTCTTGAAAATATTAGAACTGCGTCTGTTATAGTGTCCAGTCCATCAGAATCTTTGTTTATATTTTCAAGAGATTTAATTGTACCCTCTATTAAATTAATTGCATCAATTATATTCAAGTCCTTTGCTTCCAACTTCTCTGTGAGTGCTTTGAGTTTATATAATACATTTTTCATAAACATTATTGAAACAATAAAATCAAATGTTGTTATTTTTTTAAATAGAGTTATTAATTGACTTTTAGTTTTTCTATCGTACAAATTTGAAGAGGAGATTTCTTGCAAAGTTTCAAGAATTATTTCAAACGACGTCCAAACTGCTTTTACCGATTCTGCATGAGCCGTCCATCGCGTTTTTGATAAATTACACAACTGCAAACTACCTTCAATTTCAGATAATTTTTTACTAAGAATTCCATACCGCTTTGTACTAGCATTAAAAAAACATATAGACTCTCTAGGTTACTAATTAAGTTAAGTATAATGACACTAGCATTGCAGCCATGTTCTAAAAATGTGTTAATACGGTGCGCTTGACATGGGATATAAGGTATATGGTGATTGGCCAGTTTTGAAAGTTCTTTTTGCGCTCCATGGAATTGACCAGACATACTTGAGGCAAAATCATAAGACTGAAAAGCGATGAAGTCTGGATTTAATTCATCTCTTACTAAGGTATCATAAATATTCTTTGCAATCCCGAATCCAGTTTTATCCGTACATTAATTTATTTCAAGAAGTCTCTCTTTAACATTTCCATTATTATTAACGTATCGTACACATATTGCCAATCTATCTTGGTGGGTAATATCGGGAGTCGTGTCTGCCAGAACTGAATAAATTTCCGCATTTTTTACCTCCTCAATTACTCGATTTCTAGCTTCTGAAGATAGCAGTTCTATGAATTCATTTTGAGACCTAGAACCAAGATACGTCACATGATATAGTCTCATAGATTTATTATCTAACCACGTTTTTATAACATTACAATGTCTGGAAAGTAATTCCACGATTTGAATGAAATTTTCATTTTTATCATCTCCATCACCTCTAAATGCCAACCCTTGCCGAGCTAAAGTACGAGCAGTGTCCATAAGGATTTTAATAACTTGCTTATTATATTCACGCTCATGCTGAATTTGAATTGATTTTTCTCTATTTGTTTGATCAAATAAAACATCATTATGACAAGATGTCTTCAAAAAATTACAGTAGTCTCTTAATGCAGCTTTATGAGCTGAACAAGAGAAATGCTCAGAAAGTTTCCCAGGTTTATTTTTACCCCTACTTTTAATTTTGTGCCATACCCTGACGCCTTCAGTGACCCAAGCATTATCGGAAAACCCTCGATCCGGACCATTTGGAAATAAAAACATACAAAACAATAAGCCGAGTCTTTTTTAATACTATATTCCAACAAAGGAAACTCAATATACCAACGTGAAGAAAATTGCCGTTGTTTGTTCGTATTGATACTTTTGTTTCTGGGATATGAAGTAAGTTTAGGCTGATGAGGTCCTAATGAAATTAAATAATGTCTCTGTGAACTAGTTACAATTTTTTCTCGTTTGCCTGGATCATGATCAATTAAGCTGTTGTATTCGGTTTGATCGTATAAAATATTGGTCGCATTATTGCTGATAGTTTGTGTTAAAATACCTGATGCATTTTTTAAAAAAGTATCAGCTATGTTTTGAATAGTTCTTACTTTCTGAACACTATTAATTAAAAATAAAACTGGGTTCGGAAATTGTTCAGTTTTAATTTTATCTAAAATTAAATCGCATTCCTTCACTTCATTAACAAGTATTTTCAACTGACCTGCACAAGTTAACCAAGTCTTCAATTTTTTCAGAATTTTGCATAGGTATTACAATGTCAGCATTTATGGGTAATTTTGTAGCAATATGATGTTCACTTTTTTCAATAATAGGACTGTCCAAAGATTTTTCAGTTGCAACCGAATTTTTAGATAGATGTTGCTTACCTACTAAGTTGCATACTGTTGCCAAATCATTATCTACATTATAAGAATCAATCGTCCTCTTCTATCATAACCTATATAGATGTAAAATAATCTTAATAATTGTATTTGCATAAAATGTAGGTACCTAATTATTTACCAATGGTTTTAATCTAATCATTAAAAAATGTCATAAGATATTTTAAGCCTCGAAATAAACAGGGTAGGTTTTGAATGAAAAATTTCAATTTACAACTAGTAATACTTTCTAAGTCCCAGTAAAATAAAATCGAATAAAATATGAAGCTTACCGATGGTGGTTTATGTTTTGTATTCCTTTTACTAGGAACAAATGGGTTATCAGGTGCTCCAAAATTCTTAACCTTCGTTCTCTTTCCGTCGTGACAATTAATCTCATGTTTTTTACGATGGTCATCATCAAAACTTGATCTACACTCCAAACACTCTAGTTTTACACGCTTTAGAGACTTATTTGTAGTAGTCGACATTGGATTTAAATGTTCGCAATACAATATATAAAATAAACGCCTTGTACCAGAAAATAACTCGCGAAGTAAGCACAATTTTTAAAATACCGAATAAGGTGTACAACAGACTGTTGTCAACTACAGTTGTACAGACGTCAAACATACACATTATATACAATACATGGAAATCGGTAATTTTCGTCTGTTGAGTGTTTCTTCGAAACGCGATTATCGCGTATTTTGTATAGGTAGAGGTATCCTCACTTGATAACGTATTATATTATACTTGCCCACCACAAGTCACAACCGTCGCCGCATGCCAGCATTACTTAATTGCGATTACGGATGATAGAAATAGACGGTTTATTGATTTTCTACTGTATAATGCATGATATAATATTATTATATCGTTATAAGTAGATATGCGTGTTATGTTATGAGTAGGGCTAGGATTTATATGCATTGGTATGTTTTTTTTGCAACTTCTGATTACTTATTTTGTAAGTAATGTCCACGAATTAGCTCTAGCTGAGGTAAATGGTGGTATTTTTATTTGTCATATTTTTGCATATTTTGGACAAAATGCATATTTCTGCATATTTCGAACAAAATGAATATTTTTATACATTTCGACTACAAAAACACAAAAAGTGCATGTTTTATAGTATATTAATTTATTTTATCGCAGTACAAAAATACCCAAATGTAATTTTATCTTATCTTATCTTACTGTCGCATACCCGTATGCTTACTAAATAAAAGCATACAGCTAAAAGTTAGTTTGTGTTTGACAGTGATCGTCGTATTGTGTGTAGTGATACGTTGCCGTGTTGTTTGCGAACTGTATTGGTTTCGTTACGTACTTACCTAATACCTACATTCAATTATAAAATGCCAAAAATACAAAGTACCAGTGCAAAACTTCGACAATATGTCGAAGAGTTTTCTAGTACAGTTTTTAAAACCGATGGTAAAACACTATTTTGTAATATTTGTGACCAGGCAGTATCATCAAATAAGCGCTTTCAAGTCACTCAGCATTTAAGTACAGCAAAACATCTCAGTAATTCAACAAGAAAAGAAAAAATGAAACAAATATTTATTAAAGACTCATTTGAAGATCAGAACTCAGAATTTTCGCTCGATTTATGTCGTGCATTTTTAGCTTCTGATATCCCTTTATGGAAATTGCATAATACAACTTTTAATACATTTTTGCAAAAGTATACTGGTAAAAATATTCCGGATCAATCTACAATACGAAAAAAGTATGTATCAGTTCTTTACAATGAAGTAATTGACCGTATTCGTAAAGAAATTGGTGAGGGCCCCATTTATGTTTCAATTGATGAAACTACAGACGTTGAAGGAAGGTACGTAGCTAATGTTATAGTTGGTCTTATGCATGAAGATAAATGTTCTAAATCGTATTTATTGACTTGCGAGGAAATTTCAAAGTGCAATTATCAAACAGTAAGAAAATTATTTCACGATGCTTTAAATATACTTTGGCCCAACGACATTAAATATAATAAAGTTTTTTTATTTTTAACTGACGCTGCACCATACATGGTGAAAACGGCTAATACACTAACTGTATTATTTCCAAACATGATACATGTGACATGTGTAGCCCATGGTTTACACAGAGTGTGTGAACAATAAGACTTGAGTATCCAAATATCGATAATATGATAAGTTGTGTAAAAAAAGTATTTTTAAAAGCTCCGAGTCGTGTGATGAAATTTCGAGAATTATTTCCAGAATTACCTTTACCTCCACAGCCAATACTTACCCGATGGGGAACTTGGCTAGAAGCCACATCATATTATGCTGATAATTTCAATTCCATAAAATCAGTGCTTTTGTCTTTAGACGAAAATACTGCAAAATCCATAAAGAATGCTATAGCTTTATTTGAAAATATAACTATACAAAATGATTTAGCTTATATAAAAAGTAACTTTGGCTTTATCATTCAATCTATTTTGAAATTAGAAAATGCATCACTTTTCCTCGATGAAAGTTTGGAAATCGTTGAAAACACCAAATATAAACTTGACCAAAACAAAGGACCGATCGCTGAAAAAATCGACAAAAAATATAAAAATGTGTTAGAAAAAAATACTGGGCTAAAAGCTATGTCTACGATACGTAATATTTTAAATGGCAACAATGTAGATGAAGATTTTCCAAATCTAACTCCTGGGGAAGTTACCAAATTTAGATATGCAAAAATTACGTCATGTGATGTCGAACGGAGTTTTAGCAAATATAAAAACATATTAAGGTCAAACAGAAGATCGTTCATCTTTGAAAATTTAAAACATCACGTAATTGTTTCATGTAATTCATTCGAGTAGCTTTATCAATTTTATATCAATTAATATTATAGAGATTTTAAGATTTTAGATTTTTTTTAATGTTTTTATATTTAAGTGTTTAACATATTTATTTTTATTAATTGGTATTTAAAAAAAAATTATAGAAAATGTTTTTTTTAAATAATATTTATTTGGTTTATTTAAGCATATTTTTATTGCATATTTTTGCATATTTTTAATAAACCAAATGCATATTCAATCATTTTTTATTGCATATAAATCCTAGCCCTAGTTATGAGCAATGATCCGATCATTAAGTTTCTATCTTATGCCGACTGTCGATTCTCGCAGTCTCGCTATACTTTTGCAAATCCGCTCCATAACCCATTACGAAAATATTGAGTCAAAACAATATTAAAAAAGTATTTAATTTTCCTTTCCTCGTCTTAAAAAAAATGGTTTAATCAGGTGAAAATAAATTCCATTTTGCCGACTGAAAATCAAATATTGCCGTCATGACACCCCTTCGGTTCGTCCCTGGAGGCACTACCTTTGTTAATGGGTAACCATGCTAAGACATATTTTATTTTATCTTTATTATAATATTGTTTTCCTATGCTAAATGTTATTGCTTAGATATTTTATTATGATTTTAACCGCTGTCTATAGCATATATAAGTACGAACTAGATCGGATTGCTGTATAAATATTAATTGTTTTATTATTCGCTTTATTTGTAATACAGTACTGTATAATCTAATAGATCTTTTTAAATGGAGATGGACAATAAAAAGGTAAGTAATTGATTATAGTAGTACCTAGTATAATAGATAATAATAATAATAATTATTATTATGATGTGCAATATAAAATTGAATATATTAAGTTATATATATGTTTTATTTAATATAATTTAAAATAAAACAATTTTCATTATTTTATTTTTGTATTAATTGTTATATTTTAATAACAATGAAACATAATATATTTTATAAATTAATTAATCAAATATTACAATTACAAATTATTTTAGATAATATGTGTTTATAATATTTATTTGTAAATGACTTAGGAGCATGATTTTAACGCAATATTTATTTTCTCTACCATGTAGTATTGTGTATTTAATTTTGTGCACATTAGTGCAGCCAAAATTACATTTTTTTTTAAATTAATTTTTATTGAATTTTAACAATATACTATACTATGCAGAATTAGGACTGCGATTATTTTTTCCCCATAATAATCGATTATATTTATAATTTTCGATTATAATCGATTAATCGAATATTTCGAGGCTATTGTACGATTATTAATCGATCGACGAATAATCGAATAGTATTCGATTATTCGATTAACCGAATAATCGTCGAATTATAATTTACAATCGAATACTCAATAATGTTGTAATAATAGTAATATGAATAATCAAATAATTGTTCTGAGTTAATCAATTTATTCATAAAAATTGTAAATACATTTCTGTTACAAAATGTACTGCCGTTTACCTTCGGTCATACTTACATCTTAAAAATAAATCTATAAAACTAATAAAAATAAAATAATATTTAAAACGCTGGTTTAGGTACATAGTCCTTATTCATAGTTAAAAAAATAAGCTGACTGGCGTGTTCGTTGGTTAACGATGCTCTATGGTCAGTTAGTACACAGCCACCTTTACTGAAAATACGTTCAGACGCTACGCTTGTAGCCTGAACAGTCATAGCTTTCTTGGCTGAAACAAACATAATTGGATATGTCGTTTTGTTTAAGTTCCACCAATCTAGTGGATCTTGTTCAAAGCCAATTATTGGGTTGTTTAGATATAAGTCCAATTCATGTCTTAATTTTTGGCTTAATGGAACATCCTACAATTATACAATTAAAATTTATTAACAATAAAGTAAAATAATTTATATTCAAATTCTTACTTGAAAATTATCCATATTATTTTCAGGAGTGCCAAAAATTACGGACAGACCAGTTTTGGTTTTTTTCTGTGGTGCCAGTTGGTTATTACTATCGTTATCATAACTGCCATTTACGGTACTCTTATATGTGTCTTCGCAAAATTCACCGACGGTTTTCTTTAAAACCGATATATCATCATACGTTATGTATTCGATTTTAAACCTCGGATCCAATACGGTACACATAACCAGCAATGTGTTACCTTGATAGCGTTGATCTAGAATATCAATAATGGTTTTGTACATTTTCTTAATCTGTCTTCCGTTGATGTCCGTATCTTCACTTTCATTTAGTTCTGTTATTTGGGATAATTTTGACTTGAGTGAAGAAATAACTGGTAGTATAGCCGAACCCGTGACATACGAATCGCCGGCTAAATTATCAGTGATTTCCCGGATTGGCTGTATTATAGAACTTAGATTTTTTAACACAATTATGTCTGAGTCTTGAAAAGATAAATTTTTAAATGTGCCATTTTTATATGTTCGTAGAAAACTTGTGAGTCCAAGTTCTTGTTCAATAATAATATTAATTAGTTCCAGCATCGACCACCAACGAGTTTTTGAGTAAGATGGAAATTTTTTATTTGGCAAGCTAAATTTTTCCTGGATTTTTCCCATTTCTCGAACTGCCTTCCAACTATGGGCAAATATATTATGAATGGATTTGACTTTATGGACTACATCTTTTATTTCGTCCATATTAAAGATACGTGAAACTGCTGTGTTAAGAGCATGGCCAAAACAAGCTACATGTGGTATATTTAAATTGCGTACAGCCTTAAGCATATTCGATCCATAATCAGTCACCATCGAACATATTTTCCAATCCGGTATCTCATAATCTAAAATCAACATTTGAAGTACATCGGCTATATTCTCACCAGTATGGTCCTCTGATAGTTCAATGCAACCTAAACAGGCTGAAATTAATTTGAAGTTAACGTTGATGAAATGGCACGTGAGACCAATAAACGGTTGGTTTGAACTTGAAGTCCAGCAGTCCGTGGTGAAAGTAAAAAAATTGGCGCTCCTAATTATGTTTTCTATAATGGTACGTGTTTCACTATACATAGAGGGAATTCGGGATTATGTGAGAGTTTTCGGCCTGGTAGCTTGTAGCTAGGATTTAACGCATTCACAAATACTTTAAATCCCTCCTTTTCCACTAAACTGTACGGCATCATATTTGTTGCAATGAAATATGCAAGTGCACTATCAATTTTGATTTTTGCACTTTTATTAAGAGTGAATTGTGTCATTTTTAACTGTCTAGTTGTACTTGCAGAGCTTGTCTCGTGAACTGTAGCAAATGAGGAGTTTGTGACTGAGGAGGTGTCAGTATTAGAAGACTGAGAAATATTTGAACATGATTGACTAATTTCTAGTTCTTCATTTGAAGTAGAAGGTTGTAATTGTATCAAATTTGATTCAATACTTTCAGATTCAGACCTAATAAAAATATAATGAAATATGTTAACGGATATTTAGACATTTTTATCTTAAATGCACAAAAGAAAATTCCACAGTAATTTAATAACTAAAAATAATTTTCAGCATATAGATAAAAGGAAAAAAACCGGAAAATCGCTCTGCTGTACATTAGGGGGTGGGGTGGACCTCGGGGCTCGGACTAGAGTAGGTTAAATTTGAATGCAATGATAGGTATCATTGTATACGAAAAACGATTATGAACGGAGATGATTTGTCAGTATAGGATATATTATTATATTAAAATATTGTCATATAACAAAAATCAAAATTCGTTTGTTTGTAAATCGTTATTTTACGAGCGAATTTTTGATTTCGTGAAAATTTAAACAACCGTAAAATTTTTTAAATGGATAATCCTCAATTTTTTTTATAATTATTCTAAGCTCAACTTATGGACAATCTTGAATTAAATTTTCAAGTCTTAGCTTTAAATGAAAATTTTTTTATTTATTTTTAACTTCAAAATAATTAGCAAATATTCATGATTTTGACGAATTTTGTCAATATTTTCACTTCAAACGTTTATAAAAAAAAATTGTGCCTATGCTTTTTTATAATTTTTGAATGACAGTAAGAACAACTAATACTGAGTCGTCTATTAAATTTTCAAGTATTTTGTTCCAAAGAATTTTTTTTTATCAACATTAAAAAAAAAAAATTTTAAAAAATCGAATATTTAAATTGCCTGTAAATAGATTAAAAATTAGTGAAATATTTTGAAAATATAATTATATAAAAAAAATGGAAATCTAAACAACTAGTAAGAGTTTACGACTTATACTTTTTGAATAATAACAAATATCAAAAATCAGTTTTCGATAAATCTTTATTTTACGCAATTTTGTAAAAATTTAAAATTCAAACTTTCATAAAATTTTTTTCTAAAATTACGCTCGAGTTTTTTTACAGTTACTTGAAGAAAAACTTATTGAAAACATTGTGTTGAAATTTTAAACTTAAGATATAAATAAAAAAATTTTTATGAATTTTTAACTTCAAAATTACTTGCATATTTTTGCGATTTTGACATATTTCGTAAACATTTGAACTTTAAGCGCTTATAAAAAAATAATTGTGACTTACGCTTTTTATTTTTTTATCTCTTATAAGAACAACTTATAAGTAACATTGTATTAAATTTTCAAAAATTTTTTGGGCGGCCAATTTTTTTTAATGGATATTTCAAAAAAAAAATACTTAGAAAAATAGAAAATTTAAATTGTCTATAAATAGCTCAAAAAAAGTCAAAATACTTTGAAAATGTAACCATGTGTAGACAACGCTAATATAAACATATGGTGAAAGTTTCAAGTATTTACAGTTTTTATTTTTTGAGTTACAGTAAAATGAAATTATAGATTTTGTCGAATACTGGTTTTGCGTAAAAATTCCCATTTTTCCGTTACTTTTTTTAGGGTTTTTCCTGACGCGTTTGAAAAGTATTGGACATTTCTTACTTTTGACCTCTATAATGCACCAATGGCATTCACTTTCCTATCAGAAACGGTGCTGAGTCAAAAAGTCGAAGCACTATTACTATCCAGAACCTTGCTGACAGACACAAAAAAATAAAAAATAAAAAAAAAACACACATCATTGTAAAATCAATACATTCATCACTGTTCAGAATCTAAAATACTTAATATAATATTGTTGGTATTTTTTTTGATTATTTATTTAGAAATAGGTAAAGCATATTATACCCAAAACATTTTTAGCAATAATTTCTGAAAATGTGGTATAAATTAATTAATGGGTGATTGAGTAGCCATACATATATTTCTTACCGATATTAATTCCCCCCCCTCAATAGAAAATATCTAGCGCTGCCACTGATAAAAACGTCAGGAGTCAGGTGACTGGACGTGTGAAACAACATGCCTATCGTTCGTCAATTTTTTAATACTCCGCATAATTTTTATAAAATATAAAAAAAACTTTATGATTTACCTCATAATATTAATATACGTTGGAATTAATTATTATTTTTAACGCTACAAAAATTAATATTGCTTAACCATTAAATACAATTATTAAAAACAATGTCATGCATTTGAAAATTTACATACTATTTTACAATAAAATTCAACTCTTTACTGTCGTAAAAAAGTACTTTAAACCATACTTAGAATATTTTACCATCTTGGATTATGATATACATTAAATATTAGAGCTTATAAGTTTTTACTTACTCATCGTTGTCTATAGAAGCGCCTTGATCAAACACTCCTCCTGATAATCCCCTGCGTAGCCGATCAAGTTCAAGAAATTTTGGTTTGTGTTTAAATCTCAAATGGTTCCACATGTTGGTTGTACTTGATCCGGGATTCGCATATTTTTTATTGCACGATACACATATTACTTTACCTCCGTCGTCTTTTTTGAATACTTGCCATATTTCACTCATATTGGTACTTCAGAGTTCAGGGCTTCAGGTACTTGGTACTTCTATTGAAAATAATATAGGTAAAATGATAAATTTAGGACAATAATTAATGTTATACAATATACAATTACTAAGGTATGAATTTTAAATAAAAGAAGTACCTCAAATATGTACTATATAATATTATACATGAACTACATTACTATTGTTATTACAATGAAATTAATAGTTAAACATATGAATAAAGTAATGGTAATATTGGTAGGTATTTACTTTCGTTATTCTGTATTTCTGTCTTCTGTATATTTTAATTTTTAATATACCTAATTATTAAATTCCGCGTGCTGAGTGCTGACTGCTGAGTGCTGAGTACTGACTGCTGATGAACTAGCATAATATAGCCAAATAGTGTATACTGTTACTGTATACTGTATTGTCCGGCACTCCGGCCTCCGTGTAAACAATAAGCCAATGAAAAATATTACGTAGACCCGCTCAAACATGCAAGCCTTATAAAGTTATAAGTAATAATAGTTATTATCGTATTATTATTTTTACTCATTTAAGTTATTGTTTAACTCTTCGCTTTATTTTGTATGTAATTTCTATATTTATACTCACTCTTCTTCGTCCGGCCGTCCGGACTCCGGGTAAACATCAATTACTACTTTCTTCTATCTTTCTCCGTTTTGATTCAGTAATTTCAGTCAAAATAATTAATGCAAACACAATATTTCATGATGATTTTCCACTTCTTTTTGCTAGATATATTGTTTTATGTAAACGCTAAAAACTTTAGACTAGTCTTATTCAACGAATGCTTAAATGCAGATATAAATCCAACATCTTGTATTCGTCTTTTAAGTTTGAACACCCCCTTTTATAATTATATTTTCATGTTTAAGATTGTAGTTTTTCGATTATTATTCGATTATTCGATTATTCGATTATTATTCGATTATTCGATTATTCGAACATTCGATTATTTATCATTCGTTAAAAACAATCGATTAATCGAATAATCGATTATAATAATCGATTAATAAAAATAATCGCACAGTCCTATGCAGAATGTAGATATTTATTTTGTACAATTATCCAAAACTCTTAATTCATTAATTTCCATATCACCACCATGAAGTTTTTTTTTACGGTAATAATACTTTAAAATGCAGTGGTCTCAAACAGGTAGCCTGCAAACTATTTTAGTGTGGTTTGAAATAAATATTTATATTTTATTTCTTCAAAAATGTTGAATTTTTTTTATAAACTATTTTATATGGCATATAGAATGTTTGATATTGGTATTTGTAATAAAAATTTAATTCGATGATGTTAATAAAAATATGATAAAAATAATCTATCAATATAAATTGTATTATAATATTATTTTACTCATATTTGGTGTATTGACTATTGTGTATTTATTTGTATAGTTCCATGTATCCATGTTCGGTAGTACGTATGTATGTGAACAATTATTTTTCCTCGTGAAGTTGAATAAATATAAAAGCCGCAATCAAATTTCCAATGTAAAATTTCAATCTGTTCTACATATGGCATTCAGCAGCAAATATAAACAGTTTGGTACAAAATAAGAAATGTCAGGTATCAAGTGCAGCTCGGAAATAAACATAAATTATTATTATTATTAAAAATAAAATCAATATATTTTACATCTTTGTTATAACTATTATAAAAAATAAATGAAATACATTTTGTCTTAATTTATTATTTTTAGTATTAAAATTGCATTTTTAATAAATTTAGTATTAAAATGAGTAAACAAGTTTAAAAATGGTGTTTTGACCGTGAATCTTTTATGTACACGGCCCGTTGGCAATTTGAGTTTGAGATCACTGCTTTACACTCAGCGAAAAATAACGATTAATTTCGATAAATTATATTTATCTACCATCAATAAAACACCTTTATTAATAAGAAAAAATAAATTATCAAGTCAATAAAAAAAAAAATTATGTTGATAGAAATTTTATTGAATTAATAAATAGAAAATACACGTTTTATAAATCTGATTTATTAAAATGATAATTTTTTTTCAGTAATTTGATTAAAATTTTATTGAACGAATAAATTTTTTATTAAATTTATAAAATATTTTATACAATAAGTCTTAGAATAATGTCCAAATTTTCGCGTATTTTAATGGCCCGGTTCTTGCGATTAAGATTATAAGGGAGAGTTCCCTAGGTTGGACCACTTTGAACATTTAGGAGTATTACAGATAATAATTTAAAATAATAAGTATTTAACTGCACTAAGGTTGTAGCTAAACATGTAAACAACAGTTTGGTATAGTTAGTTTTTTTTTTTTTTTAAAGGTTTTAATGGTAATATTTTTTTTTTTTTTTAAATGTACCAAGTGGTCCATCTTAGGCAACCGGTTGCTTAATTTGGACCGCCTATATCTTTAATTGGACCTCTTGGATAAATTTTAAAATAAAACACATTTTTCGAATAATAAAATAATTGTATTTAAAAGTTATCAGTCAATACCTTACTGACTAGTTTTTTATAAAATAAACAACATTTTTATACCTTCTTGGTTAAATTTTAAAATAAACAACATATTTAGAATAATAAAATAATACAATTTATAAGTTATCAGTCAATACTTTACTGACTAGTTTTTATAAAATAAACAACATTTTTAGAATAATAAAATAATAAAATTTAAAATGTATCAGTGATATTATATATATATAAATATATCAGTCAATACCTTACTGACTATTTTTTTTTATAAATTAAACAACATTTTTATACCTTCTTGGTTAAATTTTAAAATAAA